CACCAGTGAAGAGGAAGGACACGTAAGCCAAGAGAAACACAATCAAAATGTAGATGTGCCAATAAGCCACACCTTGCCAGCCCCGGATGTTCCACCCAAATCCTTCCCCTCTGGGATTTATTTCTATAGATACCATCTCTCTGTTCCACAAATAAAACTACACGTTGCTAGGAAACAGCCCAGCTTCTCAGGACTCAACTGAAGGGGAGCGGCCTCTTCTTACCAAGAGGTATAGAAATCTGAAGCTATTCCTGACATATGTGCTACTGTTATGAAACCTACATTGTCAGCACATCTATTTCATAGAGCTCAAGAGCTGCTTAGCTCTAACAGCTTTAAATCTCTGACATAACTGGGACTCTGAATTTTTTTTTCCCCTGTCCTCACCTTGTACTTCCTGTTTTCTTTCAGGTCTTCTTCAAACGTGTCATCGCACCTATCTTCAATTAATAATGCCCAAGAAAACTTGCATATTTTCAGGTTACAAATGACTCATTTGACATATTCTTCCCATCACATTTTTAGTCCTATTAAACTTTTGAGGGGCAGGCCGAGTGGCGCATTGGTTAAGAATTGGCTTGGGACACCAGCTCTGAGCAGCAGGGCCCCGGTTCGGATCCCACATTGAGGGCCAGTGACGCTGTGCCCTCTACCGCTAAGATGGTGAACAACAGCTTGAGTTGGAGCTGGGCTGCTATGAGTCGCCGGCAAAGGCGTAGGCTGCAGCGAGGTTGGCCGGCAGCTGGAGTGCGCTTTCCTTAGCTGCTGTGAACCTCCGTGAGCGGCTGTCCAATGGCCGGCGAGCAACTGCCTCACCCAGGAAGAGCACAATGACAATACCAACATGGGCCAGTGAAGCAACAGCCTCCACAATTAGACTGAAGAACAAAAGGACAGCAACTTGTCTGTTCCCCTTCCACAATTACCCAACACTGTTCCCTTCCCCCAATTCCCAATAAAATCTTTGGGAAAAAAAAAACTTTTGAAAAATTTCACACTTGGAGCTACTGTTTTCAAATATTTTATATCAAATGTTTATTTCTTTTTAAAACAACCTAGTGGTTTTTACCTATATTATTACTGCCCCAAGCACTCTCCCTGAAGTAGTAAGTGTTGGAGTAGTGTACTCACTTTTCATCCTGCCTTTGAAAACAATTGGTGCCACTCCTGTTCCCTTCCTCATCTTTCTTTAGAGCCACCCAAGTGTCTTAGTTGGAATAACTACTGGTACAAGAAAGCCTCAGTAGTGATGACTTAAACAAAGAGGGGAAGATTTTTCTCACATATAGCAAGAACTTTGGAGCGCCAGTCCAAGCTCTTTCTGTTCTGTCATCCTTAGCTTTTCATTTTCTTGATTGATGCCTTATGGTTGTTACTTGGATATAACAACTCAAGATATCATATTCTTCCAGAGTCCCAAGAACAAGAGAAAGGAAAGTTAAAATTCTCTCTTCATGAGGCTCTGGCTTTTTGTTAGAAAAGGGAGTTCCCCAAAGTCTTCCCCTTACATCTCACTGGCCAGAACTAGGTCACATGTCTATTTCTAAACTAGTCACTAGTTGGATTGACATATAGGGTGAGATTTTCCTAAGCTTGGGGAAGGCCTACCTGCCCTAAGATCAACGGCTGGCTGCCTACCACCGGACCCCATAAGGAAGAAGCCTTTCAGTTAAAGACCCCAGTGCTGCCACCATCCTTCTCCACATAGGATGGCAAAATCCTCACAGAAGTGAGGCTGCCTCTAGTCTAGAGGTCGGAACAGCCTGTCCCGGCCTAAGGAGAGAAATAGCTATCTCTACTTAAAGCCAAGTCTCTGTTCACTCATTCTGAGGTCCCAGATAAGCCAGTCTTTCTTTTAAACACCATCATGGCCCTGCAACTATATAAACGAGCCATATTGAATGTTTTAGGGAACCAAAAGCATTCATTGTAGAAGACCTGCTAAAACCAACAGCATGCCTGAGAACCAAGTATCTCATTCTACCTACATGGCATTTTTTGTTGTTGTTGTTGTTGTTGTTTTTTTTTAGCTGAGCCATCCTGCTACCTGTTGGCAGCTCAGCGGCTGCTCAGCTGGGGCTGGACTCGAACCGCTGTTGCTCAGAGCTCAAACTCTTGAGCGAGCTCTTAACCAACTGAACCACTCGGCCGGCCCCACCTACATGGCATTTTTATTCACAAATGCTAGTCTGTATTTGCCCCAGCCTCGTGAGAGGTCTGTGGGGGGTGGGGAGGCGGACAGTGTCAGTTCCCCACCCCTCTTCCTTGCTAGGGATCTAAAACTATTAGAAAACATGCTTAAAAGAACTGAAAAACACACAGGACTCAAACTATCATTCATTATTTATTCAGAGTTCTCTGGAAATGGCTAGATGGGGAAATTAAGTGCCTACCCTAAGTCAAAAGCGTGGGAGGAACTTCTGCTTAAGGCCATATTGAAGTCATTCATTCCAGACTAGCCCTCCTAATGTGAACAATTATAAACGTAGGAGGCAGTGGTTTCAGATATTCTATAACAGGTGGTATAGGACTAAAACCCTAAAGAGAAGAGAAACTTATGAGATGCCTCTGTGACCACTGAGATCGCAGCCAGGGGACCATTTCCTGAGTGCAGTGCAGGGAACTAGAGTCTATGGCGTCTCTGATGAGCTGAGGCGGCAGAGATCAGTGTTCAGGTAACTGAGGTGACAGGAATCGCCAGACAGAGCACTGGAAAGACTTTTGAAGGGTGCAGGCCAAAAGTGCACATGTGGATTCCACACAAGCCTTTGGCTAAAGTCTGGGCTGCACATGTGCAGAGCAAGACTACCAAGGCTTTCCAGACAGTAGCTGCTACCAGGCTAAGAGTAAAATGGAGATACTAAAGGTCAAGCACTGCTGGAGAACACTGCAATACAGCCCAGCCAGAGTGAAGAGACCTTTTTCACACTGCAGTCATCCAGCTGGGACATCAGAAATGACATAATTAGGAATAAGTACAAAGTCCTAGAGTAAGGTCTGCTGTAGATCTATCCTCACGAAGCCTCAAACCAAGCCCTAACAAAATCCATAAGGGTCACCACACTTGGAGGCTGAATGCCATCAATTTAGAAGTGCTGGAGAAACATACTGGGCTTTCCACGGATCCATCTTAACAAAATGTAAAATCATACCTAGCTAATTCAAGGAACTGAATCTGTCTAGTAGAATAAAAATTAACACTAAAATAAAAATTATTCCACAGAATTCTGGATTTCTACAATATAGAATCCTCAGTGTCCAGTGTAAAATAAAAAAACATGCTAGATATGCATAGAAACAGGAAAATGGGACCCATGGTCAAGAGGAAAACAGACAATAAAAATTGCCCCTGAGGTAACGCAAATATTGGATTTAGCAGCTGTATTCAATTCACTCCAAAGGATGGAATGAAAATATGATCTGAATGAGTTAACACATAGGGATTCTCTTAAGAGAAATACAAACTATAAAAAGAGAAATGAAAATTATATAAAAAGAGAAACAAAAATTATATAAATGAAAAGTCAAATGACTAAAATTTAAAAATCCATTGGATGGGACTGAAAACAGGATGAAGATGAATAAAGTTAGTGAACTTGAAGATAGGTAAATTATCAAATAGGAAATTATTGAATCTGAATATCAAAGCAATTGAAGAAAAATTAAGCAGAGCATCAGGGCCTTGCAGAGCAACATGAAATGATGTAACATGTGTAACTGGAGTCTCAGAAAAAGGGAAGAAAGTGAAAAATAGAAAATACATTTGAAGAAATAATGGCCAAAAATTTCTCAAATTTCACCAAAAACATTTACTTATAAAGCTCAGAGAATCCCAACCTGGATAAATAAAAAGAAAATCACAACTAGACAAACTTAAAAACCAGGAAAAACAGAAAATGTTGAAAGTAGCCAAAAGGGGCGGGGGAGGGGGGCGGAGAGAGAAAACATATTACATACAAGGGAGCAAAGATACAATGATAATATGTGAGAAAGATATACAAGCATCTTGAAATAAACTGAAGAAGAGTTAGACCTTTTCAAAAGAGATTTATTTCCTAATTCTACTTTCCTAACTATATCCTCAGATTAATTCCAGATTTAGAACTCTGTTTCTGCCTCTAGAAAGTAAAATATAAGATTTTGTGGCTTCGGTCACTTGGAAATAAGATAAACTTGGCTTTGGATTTCTTAGTTCCTTCTTGATTAAATTTAGACAAGGAAATAGAACAAGTGGGGTAGGGAAACAAAAAAGACGGGAGGGGAAAACATATAAAGTAACAGGAATTATTGTCTTAAGTGATTCTAGCATCTTACGGATTAAGTTCGCACAAAAAAGAAATCCTCCTATATAAGAAAGTAAAATTAATTATGTCCCCAAACATCACACAAAAAATATATTAAAAAAAAACATAGTCTACTATCTGTAGTCTCATATTCAGCATTACAAAATCTAAAATGGGGAAAAAGGAAAAAATATTATGAGAAAAGTGAAAAGTTTATAAATTCCAAAAGGGTGAAACTGCATCAAAACCATTGATGTAGGACACATCAAGGAATTCTGAAATAAGAAGATACTTTAGACTGCAAGTTGTTCTAAATGAAATTCAACCTTCAGAAAATATGAAACTTTTTTTCGTATCAGTTATCTCAATATAGACATCTTTTTCATCATTTAAAAAATATTAGTAAATGTTAATAGCCTCCTCTTTCCAAAGTGGAACTACTGATCAAGGGCAATATGAAGTTTTAAAAAGAAAATACTGCAAAATCTGTAGGTTCTGGCATTTAATTAGGGTAGAGGTGTAACCACAGAATTTATATCAGCAAAGGTATTTATAATTGTCTCTCCTCCTCCCAAAGAGAAAGGAAAAATTCCCAGAATCTTGTTGGTTTTTACTTATGTGTGTGATTTTCTCTCCCAGGAGAAAATACAGAATAGTACAATGTCAGAGTAAAATGTACACTCTAAGTCACAAGCAAGTGCATTTCATTTCACTCACCTATGTGATAAAGTCCAATCCAATCGCTGGGGTCCACCTCCTCTTTAATGTCCCAGAAGATAATGAGGTTCTGGGCTTGCCCCAGCGTGTACTCGTACATGCTGGCAGTCAAGCTGGAGCGGCTCTCAGAAGTCACCAGGTCTGTGTCACTGTTGGCCCGCTGGAGGGTCATGTTCTCTGGCATGGAGTTCTGGGCGGCAAGGCTCTGGAGGTTCTCTGGGCTCAGGGTGTACCGCATCTGGGGATTCCGACGCCGCACGAAAAGCAGGTGCTCCCGGGCTGAGCTGGCCATCCTGTCTGCCTCTCTGAGGTTGCCTTCCTACAAAGCTGCAAGAGACAGACAAGCAGAAAGCATTAGTGCCACAATGCAAGGAATTAGGTGTAAGCTTCGCAGACATAAAGCCTGACCATGCAATAATCTTCTGCTGTCAAAATAAAACCTATCATTCTACTGTCAACAGAGGACGACGTCAGAAACAATTTTTAAAGACTGAGGTCACGTGACGGCAAAGGCCATGACACACCTGGGGCCCTTGATTTCACTCGGAACAGCTTCCTCCCAGCAATTAAGAAAAAGGAGATTTCTCTATCATCCCTCTTAGATCTCTCCTTCAGAAATGGCGTGAGACCTGAACCTATAAAACTCCTAGGAGAAAACATCGGTGGTAAGCTCCTGAGCATTAGTTCTGGCAATGATATTTTGGATTTGACGCCCAAAGTCTTTTTCAGGCGCTTGCTCAGGTGTCACCTCATCACTCAACTACAGTGGGCATCATAGTTACAGCGGCCACACCCAAGCATTCCCCACCCCTCCTTTTCTTGCTTTATTTTCTCAACAGCAATTATGATCTGATGTGCCACATAGTACCGTGTCCTTACTTATTTGGTTACTGTACTTTCTCCAACAAGAATGCAAGCTTAGGGAAGGACAGTCTCTTCAGTAGAGGGTGATGAAAACACTGGGCAGTCACAAGCCAAAGAATGAAAACGCAACAAAGCAAAAATGAACAAGTGGGACTCCATTAAACAGAGGGAAGCCATCAACAAAATGAAAAGACAACCTACTGAATGGGAGAAAATATTTGCAAATTGTTTATCTAATAAGAGATTAATAGCCAAAATATATTTAAGGACTTACACAACTTAATAGCAAAAAACAAACAAAACAAAACAAAAAATAATCCTGTTTAAAATGAGCAGAGGAAATGAATAGACATTCCTCCAAAGAAGATATACAAACAGACAACAGGTACATGAAAAGGTGCTCAACATCACTAGTTATCAGGGAAATTCAAATCAAAACCACAATAAGATATCACTTCACACCTGTTAGGATGGCTAGCATCAAGAAGACAAAAGATAACAAGCATTGGCGATTGATTATGTGGAAAAAAGGGAACCCTTCCTTGTGCACTGTTGGTCAGATGTAAATTCCACTATGGAAAATATCATGGAAGTCTCTAAAAAATTAAAAATACAACTACCACATGATCCAGCAATTCCACTTCTGGGTGGAATTGAAAGGAAAAGAAAACAGACTATCAAAGAGATATATGCACCCTATATTCATTACAGCATTATTTATAATAGACAAGATATGAAAACAACCTAAGTGTCCATCAACAAATGAATGGATAAAGATATATGTATTGGGTTGTCAGAAAAGTTATGACGTATTTTCTCTGTTTTTCGTTGCAAAAATGCATCATGACTTTCCCAACAACCCAATATCTTTATCATATCTTATCATATCGTATCTTAATGGATAAAGATTATATATATATATATATATATATATATGTATGTATGTGTTTCAGCCATAAGAAAGAAGGAAATCCTGTTGTTTATGACAACATGGATGAACCTTGGGGCATTATTGTAAGCGAAATAAGCCAGAGAAAGACAAATGTATTTTCTCATTTACATATGGAATCAGTTTTTTTGTTGTTTTTTTAAAGTCAAACTTTTAGAAACAGTGAATAGAAAAGTGGTTGCCAGGGGCTGGGGGCTGGGGAAAAGGGGTAGAGGTTGGTAAAAGGTACAAACTTTCAGCTATAAGACAAATAAGGTCTGAGGATTTGAATATAAAACATGGTGACTATAGTTGATAACACTGCATTATATTATATAATTGAAATTTGCTAAAGGAATGGAACTTAAATGTTCTCACCAAAGAAAAGTACTTATGTGGTGATGGATGTGATCATCAACTAGAGGGTATGAATCCTTTCACACTGTATACATATATAACCACAATGTACACTTTAAATATCTTACAATATTATTTATCAATTATACCTCAATAAAGCTGAAAGAAAAAAAGAATATAAGCTTCACAAGGACAGGGATTTTCATCGTTTTTGCTCACTATTTTATCCCGTGTCTACAGCAGTACCTGGTACACCGTAGGTATTGACAAATATTTATTAAGTGAACAGATGAATAAATACGGAACATCTTTTTCCTAGATGCTCCTTACATTCCCGGGAGCATGACTTATAACTTGAGTCCCATTTTCGAGCCTGCCCTTCACCATCGCCGATTTCCTGCTATCTGGACCCATGCTAAGGTATTTCCTTCGGCTCACATTTGGCCTCCATCTAAAGGAACACGGTCTTTCCTGTTGGAACTTTGATACAGCCTGCCGTTGGCTCCCTGTGAGTCTAGCCCTAAAGTATCTGTTTTCTTCTCCATGGCCAGACTCTGACGAAGACTCTTTCCAAGACCTCTGTACTTTAGCACATTTGAAGCTCTGTCTGCCAGCACCTTTTCTGACTGCCCGTGGATTCACACCACCTCGCCCAGTCCTATGGGCTCTACACAGAATGAATCTGGTTCTCCTCTATACTGCCCATTCAAACAACATAATTCACTAATGCGTTTATGGGTTTAGCATTTGCTCTGTATCCCTAGTATGTGCTGGCCTCTTTATGTTTTATTTATTGGCCACCTCTACACAGATGCTTTAGAAAATCAGCATGAACTTCCATTCAAAAAACAATCTTGGGTACAATATTTACATTAAAACTAATAAGCTCGGATACCAAGTCTAAGGGAAGCAAAGGGGAGGGTTCCCTAACTTCTCCCATCCCCCCATCTATGTCACAGACATTGGGGGCGGGGAGGGACATTTTACCATTGCTAGGGTCATAGTACTTGCAAATGTATTTATTTAATTAAGTTCTGTCATAAAGTTGAGCTCATATTTCTAGCATTATCCCCTGAATTGAAATAACTTGGACTGGTGGGCAGGTAGCCTAAGTAAAAAAGACAAAAATAAAATGAACAGATAAAGTAATATTATCTTCATAAATTCAGCCCTTGTTTTTTTTTATGTAGTATATGGTAACTCTGACATCATAATACAACCCATAGCTGTTAACCTCAAATCCATGAAGCCTAAAATGCAGGCCAACTTCTTATCTGACAGTTTCATGCAATTTTCATTTTAGTGGATTCCAACAGGCCATTCTTTGCCTGGAATGAGTCAAGTCCACATCAGCTTCAGTGAGTGCTATAAATAATTAACTCCTAATACACTATAGTCAAACAGAAAATGCAGGCCACACATACCTGAACTACTTCTCTACAAGATAGAAATAGGCCAGAACCGTTACAGCTTAGAGCCACAAGAAAAGAACTGCTAAAAATTATTCTGCTTTAGAATAAAGGGAAAAAAACACATATGTACACCAAAACTGTTGTTTTAAAATCACCTCTATTTAATCAGAGAGATAGGTTAGCACAGTGGATAAAAGAATAAGCCTGATTTCTGGGTTCCGGTCATGTCTCTACTGTTCAGTCACCCCGTGATCTTGGACAATTTATTTTAACTCTTTGCCTCCATCTTCCCGTCAGTAAAGTGGGGACATCATAATGTCTGCTTTATAATCATAGTATTTTGGAGAGAACTAAATGTATTAGTACAGGTAAAGCATCTAGAACAGTGCCTGGCATGGCATATAATAACTGCTTAATCAAGTTTAGCTATTACCATTATGTAAATAAATTCTACTTTAATTATATCACGTAGAACTGGTTTTAAAACTCCTTTGATTCCCCTCACTTATTGGGAGAGCAGGCTGTGAGCATCCTCAGTTATTCAAGCACAGCCCAAAAACCAGGAAAAATAGAGCCTTGTAGGCACTGAGGAACAGCCATCCTGAAGCCTGAGGCTTAGCCCCAACACCCTAACTTGGGCCATTCTCTGGTCCTCCAGCCAGAGGTAAAGGTTGAAATTTGAGTTTTTCACCATTGTTGAGTTCATTCATTCGTTCATTCATTCATTCACTCAACAAATTTTTATTGAGCACCTCCCACGTGAAAGGCACTAAGGATACAACAAGGCAAAAGACAAAGTCCTTCCCCTTGTGAAGCGTGCATTTTTACAAGGAGAAACAAATAAATAGATAGGTCAAAAAAATGAATAAATATTATAGTTACTTTTAGTGGAAAAGCAAAAATTAGTGTGAATTTGCTAGTTTAATTGAACCCTGCAAAAATGTATGAAGCATCTACTAGTTCACATCTAGCATACGGCTACAAAGTACACTAAAAACAGTAAAAAGAGTAAGGTTCTCTTTCAAATTCTTTCTTTTCTTTTCCTAAAGCATGTAACATGGCTCTTACTGCCCAGGAACTTTGACTTTGGGGAAGAAGACCAAATGTTCATATATGAAAGAATTCAATCTGATATCAGTGACACTTTATGCACATGTACAATTTGTCCTAATAAGTATGTGATAAAGATAATAAATGCTTGTGGGGCATCAGGAAATAATAGTAATACAATATTTATAAGGGTTTTACATTTTCCAAAGCACTATCATATCTATTATCTCAAGTGAGACTCCAGAATATGTGAATTAAATTTTGGAGATGCCATCATCACTGTTTTCAGATGAGGAAACTGAGGGTCTGTGAGACAAAAGGTTGGCTGAAGAAGACAAAAGAAAAAAAACAAAACACTTTGTGGAGGAGGTTATATGTTTGAGTGAGTTTGGAAGGATTAGAAGAAAATAAGAAATGAATGAAGACCATTCTAATTGGAAGCATGGATATGGAGAAGCTACCAAGGAAGAGAGTATGAGAGGGAAGAAAAAACAGAGGCTCTGCAGAACCCTGGGAAGAGGTTGGGAACCCTGCACAAGAAACCACGCAGAAGCTCCAGGAGATGCGCAGGTTACAATAGCAACCACTGACAACTGATGGTGAGCCCCGTGATAGAAGATACTGAAGCTTCATGAGTTTAAACCCACCCAAGGTCATAGAGCTGGTAAGTGACAAGGGTAAAAATCAAAGTAAAACAGGAAAGAGAGAGAGAAACA